AGTGATTATTGGACAACCGGGAAAAGGTTGAATAAGCGCCTTTAAAGTTCACATACAACTAAACAGCAGGATAACAACTGTATAGAAGCGTTAATGGATATGCAATAAGAGCTTCTCCCGACCGTTCCAATAAGTAGCTGACTAAGTTCGCCAGATTTGGTTGTATAGAGGTTGAGTAAAGGTTCCCTCATATCGTATAACGTTTGAATACAGCTTGAGGCTGTATAAATGAAATGAGTAAAGCGTTTACATTGTGAAAATTGTTAGTTGGGATGTGCTTGTACCGCAACCACTCAGTATATACGTACAGTACGTATCAGTCGATGTGAACAAACACAGCTCGTTTTTGTTGTACATCTTACATGCTGAAATATGTCCAGTACAGTATGAATATAACAACATTTGAGCTGTGTTGCATTCTGTGCTGCAATTATTTGACAACCGTTATAACATGTTATAACTCTGTAGTCTGAACGTGGTATTAAGCTAGCTTTCTTCAAATCAGTTGCTGTCGAAGTTGAGCCATTTCAATGCGAATTTCAGACGGACAACCCTGTGGTGCCTTTTTTGTGCAACGCGATGTCTCAAATGGTTAGAGGCATTATGGAAAGGTTCATTAATATTGACCATCTGAACAATATTGCACAGGTAAATGCACATTTGATCAATATGATCGCAAAAAGGAACGACTGGAAGTGTTTTGGCACAGGTTATTGGTCGGCGTATTCAGAACTATTGTTGGTTGTGAAAATGATTTGCTGCTTATCGCATGGCAACGCCGAAAAACCTCTGGTAAGTGCAGAATATCTTTTTGAAAACATGAGGGAAGAGACAAGGCCCCCAATCGCAATGACAGCGGAACGGCAGTGTTAGCGGAAAAGCCCGCTCTGAGTAATTTGTCGGATTGAAAACTAGTTAGAATCAAATCGACTGCGGTTAGGCATCTTGATGTCATTTGTGACAATTGTCAAACTTGCCGTTTCCGTTCCGCTTCCGCCCACATTGCGTTTGGGCCTTCAGTCGTAGCGCGATGTCAGATCTATGATGGTGTAACTCATGCAGGCGGGTTCGAAAACTTACAAATTTTGAATGAACTTATTCAGCGAGTTTGAAAAATTGCATTCGCTTTCCATGTAGACAAGGATCGTCGTTTGCAGGAGAAATTTTTTAGCGTCGCCGGTGGTTTAGTGGTAAGCGTGATAACCTCTCACCCCAGCAGGCCTGGGTTCAATCCCAGTCGGCGCCGCCGGGATGTTCTGAGGCATAGGGAAGTAAAGCCGTTGGTCCCCGGTTCATGAGTTGATGGATCGATAGGTAGGGTCCAGGTGTGGGAGCTGCCTCCCTGGCGTCGGTAGCAGTGGTGCTCAGCACGGAAAACAAGATCGACGGAAAATAAATCATAATATTGTATTTGTATCAAGTTCTGTTGTACGTTCCATGAGTATGCTATTCTTGATATTTTCGAAAGCTTGCCCTGCTGTTCATTTTAAACTAACCTAAATTTGCACTACGGTATAATAAAGCACATCACGTTGTAGCTTCTTAGGTTAAAAATTTAAAAAATTTCTGAAAACCGAATGGAAAGTAAGGGAATTTTTTTTTCGACTTTGAGTCGACACCCTGTATACATTCAGGCCCCACTGGATGTTGACACATTCCTGAGTTCATGCTTGGCATACACAGTTTTGGTCACGAACTGCTAATTTGCTAATAACTTTGCACACAGTTGACGAAACATAGTTCGTTTTGAAGCAGTAGATAGAAAAGAGTTTAAGCTTGTTATATATATACTTAAAAAAAAGTAGTTTTTAATTCTAGTAACAAACTGTATTTGTTTTTGCGTTGTAAAAATGAAGTGAGAAATGCTCGCTGCACATCTCGAACTTTGAGTGTAAACATTCATTGGTGTTGATTCAAATGCTAAGATTTACTTACTCTTTGCAGCTCTATAGTAATCTATGATCCTAATCTATCAATTACTTTAAAGAAACACAATTTTCACCAACTGAGTGAAAAGTTATTAACAAATGAGCAGTTGGTGTGTTCAACTGTGCATGCCAAGCATGCCTGAGTTAAACTGAGATCCTGAGGGTGGATAACAATCCATTTATGTAGGCGTTAGAGCTTATTAGTTGTTGCAAAATGTAACCTTCAAATGGGTATGTGCCTCTCTTAATAGATATTGCACCTAATTGCGTCTGACAAAATTTAATCTTCGAGTAGATCCAGCTGTGTCCAACAAATGTATGATGGATTTTTTTTAATTGCTTGCAGTAGCACTATTATGGTTCAATAATGATCCAAAAATACGTAGACAAGCATTGCCTTGACAGCCTAAAATACTCAATAAAGCCACTCTATGCTTTATTCCGTGTTTTAGGTCTTCATCGTAAACCTGGTTAGCTCGGAATATTAGCTTCTCAGGGAAGTTTTAGTATTGTGATGTTCCTGCTATTGTAATTCCCAATTCCATAGTCATGTTATTTCGCCTTTTTGACTACCAGTGTTCTTAAGTTCTGATGAGGCTCATATAAGGCAGAAAGGGTCACTTATTCGGCTTACTGGTTACTTGGGTTGAGAATAAATGAACTTATAGAATTTAGGAGGTGAAAGTGCTGTTTCTACGATTTCCAAACGGAGGAATCTAGTCTCGAATTAGTGTTTGGTTAGGCGTATTATCCGGACTAATTTTCGTGTTGAGGTGGGTCTCAAAATGTGTTCAAGGGAAACAATATAATGGGATTAAAGACAAGTGTAGAATGTTTACCTCTAGCGCAGTGGCGTCGCTCTAATTTCAATCTACCTGTTCAACAACTCTAAAAACGTAAACAAACAAAACAATATTGGTTTCAATGAATAAAAATCAGTGAAACTAGAAGACCCTATGCCTTTTGAAACTGATTTGAATGTAAACATGACCCTAAATAACGTTTTCAAAGTTGTTGAACAGGTAAAAAGTGAGGTTACGCGACGCCACTGCTCTAGCGTTGAGTTCTGAAACAGTCAGAAAAGAGCTTGGAAGGGTGAGAAAATTGCCACGCCAAAGACCTCTTCCCGTATCAAAATTTGGACCATTCTTCAAAAAGTTATGGTCATTTAAATTTTGACAAAATTTTGCCTGTCTCAATCATTTTCACACATCGCTATCAATCTTAGTTACTGCATGGATTGATTACCTGAATTTGTGAATTTAGAAAAAATGCGGGCGTGATTTCTGTCTTTTTTGCATTCTATAAAATGTATCGAACGCTTTATTCAATTTAAGATTGTACTGGACCACTCTGCATGAATTAGTTAGAGGTCCATGTGGTATTTTATGAAAATACTCAAAAAGCACTATCCAACTTACAATTTTAACTGCAGACTAGCTTATACACCTAAAAATTTCCGCAGCTCATGTATGTCTGTATAAGCTGATCTGCAGCTGAAATTGTTTGTTGGGCAGTACTTTTCTGAGCAAAGTAATAGATGATGAGGTCGTGTTTCCAAAACCGGGTAGGCACTGTATCTGGATTTTTTTTGGAAAATTATTGGAAAATCAGGGAATATCTGGGAAATTGGTTTTCTTCATTGAACGACACCCTGAACAAACACTTTGATTGAATGTTCAAATTCTTTATATTTCCTCAACATCAAGAGTTTAAAAATTATGGTTTCTTTGCCAATTTTGAACATCTCAGAGTTAGCATATTGTATGAGATACTGCAACTACCTGTTAAGAATGTTAAACTGGGCTTTTTTTTTAATCTGAGGCTTAGCACAAATTTAAAGATCCAAGGTCAAAATTTCAAAATTCTGTCCCGTGCTAAGAAAACAGTTAAACATACCAGATTTGGGGATACTCTGGGTGGACATTGAAATTATGGGAATTCTAAAAACTTTACAATACCCCACAGACGTTGAAAGACTGCTACAGTGCCAAGTACTCAAGCACCACTACTTAGACTCTATGTCTACACCTAATTATGTGTCGGTATTTAAGTTGTAAATCCAATATGTTTTCTATGGCGCCGATGACCAAAGGTCGATTCCTATAGGTTAACCATAACGATTAAATCCCACACCAAGTACCCAATTTCCACCACACACCGCAAGCTATACGTAGCAGGGCACTTCTCTTATCGGTCTTTGGTTGTAGCAATCCATGCATTCATTATTGAATATTTAATCACGCTGGCTTCACGTTATTATCGATCTTCGGATAACATGTGCAGCGAGTGACTAAGGTCGGAAAACACGTGCACGCATCCGTGTCTTCAACAACCTGTCAATAGTTCCTACTCCTTCTTCTACATTGGCTATTGTTATCTATGCAACAAATATAGGTACCGTGCCAGCACCATACTTTGCGCGGTTCCTAAATCTACACACTCAATCATTTTGAAATATTCTCTATCAATATTTTTTAAATGTTTCCGCTACAAACACTATTTCTCATGTACTTAGGAAGAGAGTTTATCGAACGTTTTGAAAATATCTTGTTCAAATCGAGATTCGACCGAAAATATTTGAGTGCGCAAGCATTAAGAACTGCGCAAAGAATTGTGCCTGCACGGTACACATGTCGGGAGCTTTATCCATCGTCAGCAGGAACGATCACAAACATACGTCGTCCCTAGGGTTGAACTCCGCGTGGTAGGTCAGGATGAGGTCACGTCCAGTCGGCTCTAGCTTGGCCGCAATGCAATAATAATGACGGTATGGCATTGAAGGGGAATGGGGGTCATTATGGAATACGCCTTTGGTAGATCGATTGTCATGATGTTTGCCAGCACGAAAGTCAACATATAACGTCGGTCGGTGGACGGGAGTGTGAAAGTAAACTAGAACATACCGGCAATTGATTTGTACTTAGATACTATCATTACTGCCATTATGGTCGGTGGTTGTCGCAGGTACCATGGTGACAGTGTCCGGCTCAATTGTCGTAGTTAATTTCCAATTGCTGTTAAATAAAAAAAAAATGTTCTAAATTTTCCTCATTCTCCTCCCTTCAACAGGTAACACATCCAGCTACGTCGGCACTCAGCGCAAGAATCACCCGCTGTGCCACGAGACGATCCGCTGGAAATCGGAAGTGCCATTAACGGAGGGACAGCTTCGCAGCAAGCGGGACGAGTTCTGGGACACGGCTCCGGCCTTTGAGGGCCGCAAGGAAATCTGGGATGCGCTGCGGGCGGCGACCAGTGCCGCAGAAGCGCTCGACTTCCAGCTGGCGCAAGCCATCCTGGACGGGGCGAACATCTCCGTTCCCAATGGGTACCTCACCGAGTGCTACGATGAGCTCGGATCGCAGTACAAGCTACCAATCTACTGCTTATCTTATCCGATCAACATAGTTAAGGAGGATTACGGACGTGACTCGCCTGCGGAATACTCGGAACCAGTGGACGGAGGTGAGAAGAAACAATTGGAAGTGTGACAACCGTAATTGCATTATGTGATTATCTTTATTTTTTTCGTTTTGCACAGGCACCGAAGTCATTCTAAAGCTGCGGCTCTCGTCTACCTGTACAGATGTTAAATTACCAGTTTATTCTAAAGACACAATCGGTCAATGTAAAAAGAAATTACAGGTGAGTGTGCCAGATTATTACTTGTTGTGTTTTGTCCGGCGGCATTGGTGTGATGGCTTTTAACTGAATGAACACATTTGTTATTTAAAACACCAAACATAAAGCTCCTATTAAATTTAATAGTCTTCGTGCGCGGTAATCAGTGTTATTGCTGTTTCAATCGCTCATAAACCTATTTTTACCATCAACCCTCAATGATACATGCAGTGACAAGGGAGTAACGTTTTCTATTTCTAAACCCCTTTCTTTCCGCCAATACCACTCTAATGTCAGGCCCAGGAGGGAATCGATGCATTTACACAGCGATGGTTCTACGGGGGCAAGCTGCTAGGTGATAAGATGCACATCGATGAGGCCCACATACAGCCCGGCTACATAGTGCAGGTTATTGTAAATACCGAAAAACAATCGTCGCTGGCGATTAGCTAGCCAAGAAACAATCGTAAATGCCGGCAGCAATCCCATCAGCAACAACAATTTTTAACTAACGGCTGGAACGGTGTGGAAGTCGCAGTCTTGGTGCCGGATCCGTTGGGAACCGCCGCCTGTCGGAGTCGAGATGTGTTAATATATGCTAAATACTATTCAAATTGAAGTTTTGAATTGGGTCGATCTTGCTCTAGAACTTTTGCACGCGGTCACAGGTGCTGCCTCTCAGGGGAAGCATGGTTGTGTTGCGTTTCAGCTGTGCGCGCAGTTTTCAGGATGTTGAGAGCTAATTAGGACCTATCGAGAAAAAAAAAAATGCTGATGATAAAGATAGTAAGAGGAGAAAGAGAAACTAATTTAAGTAATCAAATAGTTATTACAATTACTGATAAGAGGTAATTAATATATTATTGAGAGATAACAAAACATATTTAAATTTTACCATGATGCGTTATGATTGTTTCCGAAAAGCCCCCAAAATCGTTCCATAACTGCAAGAAGGGGGAAATCCGTAAATGCGTATATTCGGCGCAATCCTCATACCGGCTGCAGCCAGACATCAATTTTTTGTTATGTATTGTGAAGAGTGTTCGGAAAAACTCATACCTCATGCACTGCCCATAAACGCATGTTCGTCTGACTAGAAAAAAAATGCAGCTGAGAAAAACGCAGTTGAATCCACCGCTCATTTTCTTTTTTATTGATTTAAATTGATAGCGAATCTTGGAAATATGCATCTCATAACTTAAAATATGCACTAGTAAATACATACGCGTTATTAATTTATTATTTGATTAAATTGATGCCTAAAATTTTGCGAAAATTAGAACAAGACTAACATGCGTTTATTTGCTCATGAACGAGTCAGAATAAACGCATAACGGTATCGCTGTTTTCTATTGTCGTGGTGGCGGGAGGGGGACTGGGGGACACCCCTAATCATCCCTCTCCAAAGGGGGAGTTTGGTAAAGAGAGATGATAAAACCGATTTGTACCTTCCTAAAAGTTGTCCTAGCTCGCTGTCTACTCCTCTATATGCAATTTTCACACTGCCGTACTCTAAACGGAACTATCAATTCTATACTTTCATCTCCTCACTCTATCGTATAAAAATTACCACTTCAGTCTGTTATTTGAAATTAGCATCTTCAACTATGTAAATCGTTAACTTCACGCAGAAGTAATACCATAGAGGTAACTCTAAGACTAGAAGGTCCCGAAATAACGTGCTCAACTTTTTGGCTCAGCTCTGGTACTCTCTTCGGTCCCAAGCTAATCGATTCACCCCTCGAAACATAGGAAAATCCACTAGCCCCTCATTTATCTGTCAAACTTTCATAGCGAATCAAAACAATCATTGTGTAGTAGTAGAATTTCGACTAGAATGGGGTACGTTTATCGTTTGCTTGGGACCAATAGGCTAGTCAAGTAGTGAGTCAATTTAAAATCGCTAGTTTGGTATTGATTGTTGGTAATACTAAAACATATAGTCAAAGTATCTACTGTCGTTTTCGTTTTTGCGCTGTAGCTACACCGGTGCTATACCGCCGAGCACCGAAAAAATGCAGGGTGTAGCTATCGGTTGCACCTTTGTTTACAAACAAATGATGAGCTGTCAATGACTCGCACTTATTGCTGCTTACACTACACCGATGTAGTGTGCCAAAAACGAAAACGACAAATCCGGAGCAAATTGTGATTAGGGCGAAACTAGCAAAATGTAAACAAATGGAGAAAAATCGAGCAAGTTTGCACGTATTAATTTAATTTTTAATACAATGCTAAGCAATATTTCTTCTATTGGAATTGCATTTATGATCGTAAAATTGGTCCAATTTTATTTGTGTTGAGTGTAAAATCTCCTTTTTATTCATTTTCTCTTAAAAACTCGTAATTTTTCTAATTTGGCCCATAAATGTGGAACGTTAAGAATACGCCCTCATTAAATCGCCCCGAACATGTATGACAGCAACAATTCGCCCAATACTATGCGCCTTTTTTTGATTTCTTTTAAAGTGTCGCCCTTCACTTTTCGCCGTGTTTACGTTTCAGCTAAAGATGAGCCTTTTACTATTTTCGCTTTTGTTGGTAAACAACTTTGATTTCGCCCGTTCACTGAAATGTTTCAAAACTGCGCCCTGTACTATCGTAAACAAAGGAAAGAGCGTAATCTATTTTAAAGCTTGTTTTGAGATAAATTTTGTTTCGCCTTTCGCTTTGCATGGATTTTTCGATAGTGGAACATTTAAAAAAAATGTTTTTGGTTATTTGTTAGTAGATTTTTGCCTGCTTCATCTGAATGCTGTAAAATCTCCGTTTGTTTACATTTAGCTAGTTTCGCCCTAATCACAATTTTCTCCGGAAATGATCCATTGGCGATAACGGTGACTGCAACTCTTTATTCCTATGGTGAAATTCCATAAGCATTTGCCAAGCGGAGATGAACCAGCCTGCGGCTGAAAATCTCCTAAATAGAGATAATAATAATAAGCATTTGCCAGTCTATGCGAGAAATATGGCAAACTTTGACTTATCTTTTCACTCTATTGAAAAATCCCATTTCAAACTGTCAATTTAAGCGTGAAGAAACGTTGGCTGACAGAGCCGGCCTAAACGTCAAATGGATTATCATTGTTGTTTCAACAGATTACGTGCTTGGACTGCTCTTGACTATTTCACATTTTATTAATGTGAGGATAGTTCTGGAACACGAGGTGCTGGTGCCAAGTATACATTCGATTACCAGTGGTGAATTAATTCAAGGTAACCTAAGCTCGGAAGATGAATTTCCTAGTTTCAAGGGAAACTACGCGCCGTTTCCGGCTATGAAATTTTGTGAAATCTTTAGAAGACACTGAGCAGGATACTGAATTGGGGAAAGAAGAATTTTGAGATATGTGTTATTGCAGCACAACACCACAAGACGTCAGGAGTCAGGACATCCTGAACGATTTCGATTGTTCGATCTGAATTTTTTTTCTATGATACGAATTCAAAGATTGCCAGAATTTCACAAGAAACATAAACACGGAGAAACTATGCTGTCATGTTGTTGCAAGTTGTTCACCACCAAACTGTGGTTTGGACATCCAGAAGGTGCAGTATTTTATGTTCAGGTTAAGCACAAAATAGACTAGACTTTTTTTTTTTAATTCGTTGAATTGTAAAACATTTGACTCGATTTTGTTCTCCTATATTTTTATCCCAGTTTTCTTTAAAGTAATGGGTTAACTAATTAAGTAAGTAGTGCATGTCATTAAGTTTATTCGCCTGCTAGGTTTGCCTTGTTAACTTCAACTGTGCAATAATCATCGATGAGATTTGTGTCTCAAAATTTTATTATTTATTTTGCATTATTCGATTGATATATTACAAAACACTCCTACTTCCTGTATTTTTAGTGGGGCAATATCATCAATAGGGCCACCCGCTAAAAAATCAACTTATTGCACATATTTAAAAAAAAATCAGCCTGCAAATGCTTGAAGCCTACTACAACTATCCATTTCTTTAAGTCTAACAAAATACTTTTCTCTAGAGCAAATATTCGAAAAATGTTAGACTAGCTCAAAATGTCAAAACTGCTATAAAATGTCTGCATCAGAAAACAAGGACTATCGGTAGTCTTATAACTTATCGTTGATGTTCCTTCAGCAGCTTTATAAATGGTCATTGATTTCTTATATGACACGATGTTTTTCTAGATTTTAATAAACATTAAAGATTTTCTTAACAACATATTACTCAAGTCCATTCGGGGCAATATGAGCACCACTGATATTGGGGGAGGTTGTTCATTGAAACTTCCGGTCCGCTTCGTAGCATAGTGCTTGCTAAGAGGTGCCAGGTGGTAACCCACCTGACGATCGGCCAAATTTGGAAGACGTCTGCATTGAATTGTCTCACATTGTCATATTCCGCCCACTATATCACAATCAATTGCGAGTAGCTGAGCGGAATGGAGACAAGGAAAGCATTTGGTACAGGACCAAGTCTCTCCCGGCTGGCGCCAAAACAATGAACCTGGAAGCAACTGGATCAAGTTGTCATGGGGCACGAAATGATCCTGTTGCATGGCTTGGAGCTGTTGCAATCGAGGAAGGGGGGGTTGGTGCTAATGTTTGATTTGTTTTTGTATAATTTCAGGTGTTAAGGTGGCTCGCTGCCTCTGGATAGTGGGTTTGACGGTGGTTCAGCAAGAATAATATTGAGACATACGGGAATGCAACAAACGTGTCGAATTAACTGCATTGGTAACGAAAACACAGAAGAGCGTACACCTGATGTCACACACTAAAGTGATGGTAATAAGGTCGATGATAATATGACATTTACACAAAAGCGGAGATCAAATCATTTTGGTCAACGTACCAAAATTCGAAACTTCGATTAAAACGTGGAATCTGTGCAGCACCAGTGGAGAACACTCAAAAGTTGCAGGTCTCATCAACCGCTGCCTGCGGTATATAACTTGTGGCTGGTGGCCTCACAAATGGATCTCAGATGTAAATGTCATCAGAAGCCGATAGCAATAGAAACGAAGTCTGCAGGCAAGCATTTGATTATGAATTAAATCCGCCAGAACATCGCAGCAAAGGCAAATACTAAGGCGACGGAGCGTCAACAAGTAAATTAAGCAAGCCGATAGGAATTTGAATTGGGCCCAGGTCAAGCAGCTGCCCAGAATGGAAGTCTTTCACGTTGGCCCTGTGCACCTCTGGATGTTCCCAGGTATTTGAGTACAACGACGATGGACGTTGCCCCTTGGAACGGAATGAAAGCGAACAGACTTGATGTTGCACAACAAGCCAACGTGTTTTTTTTTTTTTTTTTTTTCAGCAAAACAACAACATCCTCTATCTCTCTTCTTTATTCTTTTAATCTCTTACTATCCCCTAATCGGACGCTAGTGGGACCAAAAAGCCTGCTAGTGAAAGGAAAGTCGTTATGCTATACGGTCTAGTATAGGCCACGACTAAATTTCCGTAGGTTCATGCCTGGCTTAAGTGCAGATCGGTAGGCAGTAGCCTGCCAGGGTGTGAACTGAGCAATAACAATAACAATAACAACATATTACTCAAGTCCATTCGGGGCAATATGAGCACCACTGATATTTCATCTTAAATTCTTTAAGAGATGAACTAGCCTATGGCTAAAAATCTCTCTAATAAAGAAAAAAAAAATAAATTCTTCAATTTTGCATTATTATTTTCGTAAATACGACTGTATCATATGAAATCACGGTTTGAAACAGCTGCTTTGGTAAAAAATCAGTCATTCACAAGACTGAAAACATATAGCCCTAAATAGGCAGTACTTCTGAAATTTAATTTATTCTACAGAAAATAATTGTTTCTGTTAAATCTGTTTATGCTAAAACAATTCATTGTTGACCCTTCATAAAGCCTCAAGAGAACATCCGTTGTTTATAAGGTCGCTCA